AAGAAAGAAAGAAAGAAAGAAAGAAAGAAAGAAAGAGGGAGGGAGGGAGGGAGGGAGGGAGGGAGGGAGGAAGGAAGGAAGGAAGAAAGGAAAGAAAGAAAAAGAGAGAAAGAGAGACAGAGAGAGAAAGAAAAAGAAAGAAGGAACTAAGAAAAGAAAACATAATCCACATGAAATTATATACTTGTTTATAAACAACATAGGCCCTAGAGTGCCTCAAGGGTTAGGAGCCCCAGCCTAGGACCCCCGAGAGGGCTGGGGGAGTGGCTCTGGCCAGGGCTGACCTCCTCTTCTCCCCAGATGCAGGCAGCCTGTGGATCGCTCCGTCACACAGGAACCCAGGTGTGGTGATCGCCGTGTGTCTGCTTGTGTCTGTCTTACTGATGGGCTGTGTGCTCACTGCCGTGAGGCACTACAGTCGAGAAGTGCCATCTTTTCATAATCTGGATACGGTCTCCATGGTGAGATGGGCGCAGGCAGGGTTGGGGCCGCTGTGCTGGTAGTGCACACACCTCTGCAGCAGAGCCCTGCGGCGCCTGATGCTGACCTGCAAATATTCCCTTCCAGGGCAGTGTGAGCCAGAGGCTGCCGTTCGCTGACCGCCTACAGTCCTGATCTCAGAGGCCCAGAGTCCTGCTGGGTGACACTGGGAAGAAGAGTGGCTGAAAAGTCCTCCCTGCACTGACCTGGGGAAGCCTGTGGCAGGAGGATAGCTGCCCAGGGGTTTCAGGCTAGTTTGGCCCACACAGCTAGTACCCAACTCAAAAATTAAGTCAGTCTGGGGTGATGGAACATGCCTGTCATCCCTGTACTTGAGAGATAGAGACAGGAGAACCAGGTGTTCAAGTCCACCCTGAGCTATGTAGGGGGTTTGAGGTCAACCTGGGCTACATGAGAACTTGTCTTCAAAAACTGGGGGCTGGAGAGATGGCTGAGCGGTTAAGAGCACTGGCTGCTCTCCCAGAGGACTGGGGTTCATCCCAGCACCCACATGACAGCTCACAGCCATCTGTAATTCCAGTTCCAGGGGATCCAATGGCCTCTTTTGGCCTCTGCACTCACCATGCCCACAGGTAATACACAGACATACATGCAGGTAAAACACATTAAAAAATTAAAGCTAGGACTGGAGAGATGGCTCAGTGGTTAAGAGCCCTGTCTGTTCTTCCAGAGGTCCAGAGTTCAATTCCCAGCAACCACATGGTGGCTCACAACCATCTACAATGAGATCTGGTACACATATGCAGGCAAAGCATTGTATACATAATAAATACATCTCTTTAAAAAAATTAAATGTAAACTAAAGTCCTCATTATTCGCAGATGCTTCCCGAGTCATTCGTGTGACCAACAGCTCCACGTCTTCTGCCGAGTCACTGTTGGCCCTTTGTCTGCTCTCATGGGGTGGCAGCTGGAGGAGGGGAAATCATTTCAGATGGGGCTACAGGGTCAGAGAGCTTGTGTGACCAAGTGTCCCAGCGGGCAGGACAGAGGCCGCTCTCCAAGGGGCTATGTGATCTAACCCTAACGGAAGCAGCCTGGCAGAAGCGACAAACACATCACGGAAGTAGCCCGAACAGTGGCACAGTGCGAGCAAAGGCCTGTGGAGGGAGAGCGGTGAAGGGAGGAGATCCAGGCAGCGGCATGGGGATGGAGTTCCCCAGCGAGCTGCAAAACTTTCTTGGGGCAGGAGGTGCCAAGTGACCTGTGCAAAGGTCAGGGGCAGGAGACGCTAGCTGCCCTCTACATGCCCTGCTCCCCAACCCCTCCCTCAGTGCTCGGCTCATGGCCGGGGACCCCTAGCCAGCTTTCCTGAGATGCCTCTGGTGTCTCCAGCAGAGGGTGACACAGAAACTGCCCCTCAATGTGTGTGTGTTCCTGTGCTGTGACCTTTGTCAGCAGATTGAAGTAACCCCCCTCCAAGGCAGGTCACGCTTCCATGACCAATGGAGTAGGTGTGGGGTAGGCCTCCAGGCCAGTCTGTGGGGGTGGAGTGGTACGGTGAAACATTAACTTGTTCACAGCACAGAGCAGAGTGGCCTAGAGATCCCCTTGGCCCAGGCCGCAATCCTTCCAGCCTCAGCTCCTGGGTTCCCCACTTCTCTGCAGCTCTAACTTGTGGGTTTGACCAGAGATGGTCGCTGACTGCCTAGAGCAGCACAGCATAGTGGAACAGCTTCCCCAAAGCCTTGAGGTGCCTTGATTGGTGCCCCAAAATACTGAGGACGTCTCCGGCTCAGACTGTTTCAACCTCTGTGAGGCGTAAACACATTAACAATCAAACCTCCTGTCTGGCCCCTCCCCCTCCCCCCTTGCTTCATTTAGTCACACTCGGGCACTCACACCTCCTGCCCGTGGTCACCTGCGCTTGCCCCTCCTCCGATCCTGAGGGCGCGCCTGGCTTTAGTCTAGTCCGCTGCTCAGTTAAAGGGCTCTGCTGGGAACAGACAGGGCTGTGTGTCCTCGGCTCCTCAGGAAGTCACAGAACACTGGTGGCTGGCATCCTCAAAGCAGCTTGGAGTGAGTACCAGATGTGTCAGCGTGGCGGGGTCCTACATGTGGGGAACTGGGGGCTCAGAAAGCCAACAAATGCCAGAGTCCTCCTGGCAGCTGAGTGGATTTCCAGGTGACCGTGTACCAGAGGTCTGGTCCCTAGGGCTGGCCAGGGGAGGGAGAGGAGGTGGGTATGGGCCCTGCAGCCGTCTCTGCAGGCAGCTGTGGCTTCTCTGCCTTGCTGATGTGGCGCTGGGCGTGGGGTAGGGGCTGGGGTTGTCCTAGCAGCTGCCTGTCAGGCCCTCAGTCTCACTGCCCCCTTCTAATCTAGAAAGCCTGCACCATGAAGAAGAGTGGCACTGCCCTGTCCTTCCTGCTGAGCGAGGTGAGCAGTGACAGGTCGGTGGGGGGGCCAGGGCCTGAGGTCCCTGGTTAAAAGGGCTGGAACTGCCCCAAATGAGCTCACAGGGGAAACTCGGGTACAGCGAGGTTACCTGGGATTCTGAGGGGCCACTGAGTCAAGCCCAAGACCAGAATGCAAGACAGTTTTCGTTCCTTTTAAAAATAATTTTTATTATTGTCTGGGTATAGGGATTCAGCCTGAATGTATGTCTTCTGTGCACCACTTGTGTGCAGAGCCTGCTCAAGGCCAGGAGAGGGCATCAGAACACGGAAACGAGTTACAGATGGGGCTGTGCGGGAACAGAATCTTGGTCCTCTGGAAGAGCCGCCAGTGCTCTAACCACCGGGCTATCTCTCCAGTTTTAGGTTTATTTTGTGTGTCTGTGTGTGCATGCAATATTTTCTTTCAATGGGGCAGGGTCTCATGTAGCCAGGCTACACGTAACCAAACCTGACCTTTACTTCTGGATGCCTGCTTTTCCGCCTTCTGAGTGCGGCTGGGACCACAACCTGAAAGTCATGCCTGCTTTGTGTGGTGCTAGGGGGGAGCCCAGGCCTGCATGCTCCGCTCAGCCACTGAGCAGAAGCCGCCTGGAGTCTGAAAGCTATGGCGGTCCGGAGGCAGATGCATAAAGGGCCGGAGGAGGGGGTGGCAATGGGATGGGACCATGAGCCGGCAGGGTGGACTGCAGAGAAGGGAGAGAAGAGTGGAGCTGTGGGAGAGGTGGGGACGGGGCACGCCCAGGCTGCGGCCAGCCTCTGAGGAAGAGCTAGGAGGTGGTCAGGGGGCATAAGGCTTTCTGGGGACCTGGCCGCCCCAGCAAGGCTGACGGCTGGGCAGGTGCTGGCCAGTCTCTGGAGTTAGTTAACTCACCTATTAACTTTTGAGACAGCCTCTCATTGGCCTGGCTGGCCTTGAACTTGCTGTGTAGACCAGGCTGGCCTCAAGTTCACCAACACCCACCCGCTCTGCTTCCCTGAAAGATTAGAGAGACTCGTGCCACCATGCCCAGCTGTTTTTCAAGGATGACATTTAGTTAGTGTGTGGTGGCGAGGTGCCATGTGTGAGCTGTGGAGGTCAGAGGACAATTTACTGGGGTGGCTCTTTCCTTTCTGTGTGGGTCCCAGGGATGGAAGTCGGGTCCTCGGGCCCTTGTCGGGCCCCTTTACCCACTGAGCCATCGCCACAGACCTCTGCTACCTTTATTTAATTATACTTCACATATGTACTTTACGTGTGTGTTCACATGCACATCTTATTGGTGTCTGCAGTGCTCTCCAGAGCACTGCCACCCACGGCCTTGTGCAGGCTTTGCCTGGCTCATGTACCTCCTCGAAGATTTTTGGCGAATGAGTTCTCACTCATCTTAAGCAGTCCTCACACCGACAGCCATCTCTCAGCCTCCAAACCACATCCCAAAGGTCTGCGGGTCTCTCTTGAGCCCTGCAAAACAGACGGCAACAGACTGTAAGCTAACAGTTATGGTGCCGATCACGCCCCTCCAAGGAGCATCGAAGGGGGTGTTGCTCAGAAGACAGAGGCAGGAGGATCTCTGAGTTCCAGGCCAGCCTGCTCTACAGAGCAAGATCCGGAACAGCCAACAGGGCTACACAGAGAAACCCTGTCTCAAAAGACCCAAAATAAAAATAAACCAATAAATAAAATAATAGTTCTAAAATAAAATACTGAACCTGAGTCCTTCCCCCTGAGTCAGGCCCTCATCTCAGCTTCGCCCCAGACCTGCTCCTAAACTCCGGTCTTCAAGCCCCGCCCCAAGCTTTCCCCTGGCCCCGCCCCAGGCCCTCGGCTGAGAATGGGGAAGGCTGTCTGTCAAGGGTAGAAATAGGCCTTTACGAAGCTCAGGAAAGAGCTGAGGAGCCGCCCTCTGCACCTGCCGCACTACTCCCGGAAGGCGCCAATTTGTGCGGTCAGCACTGGACAGCTCCCCGATTCCGGTCCCGCCAACGGCCCATCCCAGGGCACTGTGTTCAAATCTCATAACCTAGTGACCACGAGTAAGGGACAGGTGGTAGTCCTAGCACCACAAAAGGAAAAGAAAAAGTGTGGTTGACAAGATGGCTCAGCAAGTGCTGATGACCAGAGTTCAATCCCTGGGGCCCACAGGCTAGAAGGACAGCTGTCCTCGGACCTCTGCCGGTGGGCTGTGTGGCATGTGTGTGCTCCTCCACGAACAAGTCCATTTAAAAATGCAACAAAACTCTAACATTGCGCAGCCGCCATCGTCTCTACCCTGAGGGCTCGTGGGAATCTATGAAGCTCAGGGTCCCCTGGCGGCATTCCTGCTTGCTCATGACTTCCTGCTGTCTCCCCAGCGAGTTCGGGAGCCGGCAGATTCTGGAGTGGCCCCTGCCAGCCCCCTAGGTGGGGGTGTGATCCGGAGACGTTTCTCGGGGACCCTGCTGCTGCCTCCACTGTCCAGCCGCCTTGGATCTTCTGGGGAGGCAGAGTCTGGTGCCCGCGTCGTTTTCACCATCGGATCTCGAGGGACAGAGAGAAGCCGGGGCTCAAGCAGGTGAGGACAGGGAGGAGGAGGGCCCGGGGGAAGATTGTGAGTGCTGCTTGAGCTCGTCTGCACTTGGAGGGTAGGTGGTAGGTAAACACCTACTGTGTGGCGGGAGAGGAGGCAGCCACGCCGAGGCTGCCCACCAGTCGGCAGCGTGAGGCAGGGGGGCCAGCGCTTAGCGCGTGGACCAGAATAGGTCAGAGTTGGTCTGGACGGGCCCAGGGATGCGGGAGAGGACTTCGCAGGCCTCAGCGGGTACAGTTGATGGGGTAACTTAACCACATTGGCTTTTAAAAAAATAATTTTTATATTATTATTATTATTGTGGCTTTTCAAGACAGGGTTTGTCTGTGTAGTCTTGGCTGTCCTGGACTCCCTTTGTACATCAGGCTGGCCTCAAACTCACGAAGGCCCACCTGCCTCTGTCTCCCCAGTGCCTGGATTGGGGTGCCACCACGCCCGGCTATCCTGGCGTTTTTAAAGCTCTAAACCGGGTGTGCACGGTTGCGCAGTCTGTGGTATTAGCACTTGGGAGAGAGGCAGAAAATGGCGAGTTTCAGTCGGCCTGGCCCACAGAGAAAAAAAATCTGGGCTGTCAAGATGGCTCTGTGGGTGAAGGAGCTTGCCACCAGGCCTGACAACCTGAGTGCAGTCCCAGGCCTCGGATGGTGCAAGGAAGAACCAGCTCCCATACTTTGTCCTCTGAGCACTCATGTGAACTACAGCATGCACATGTGCCCTGCCCCATGCACATATAAGTAGGGAAAATGTTAGCTTTGTATTTAAAAACTCAAAACTCTAAGCTGAGCTCGGTGGCTCACACCTTTGATCCCGGCACTTGGAAGGCAGGTCAGGCGGATCTCTGTGAGTTGGAG